TGAAGCATTAAAAAAACGTCCACAGATCAAACAGGTAGCGCTCAGACGCAGGTAGGTGAACTTTTTTAAATTTCTTCCCCCTAAATCCTCAAAGTAAAAATATCACCAAGGAACGCTGGTGATGAAGGATGTGGGATTTCAGGGTTAGAGAGCTCTGCTCTGATGGATGTCAGTTCCTGCTTGGTTCCTCATGACTCAATCAGCTCCTCCAAACTAAAACATGTCCACCATAAACATATTCCTTGATCATGATTCTATAATTTCATCAATGCAACAAAACTTAAACTGTGCAGTGAAGCAGCGTGCAGTGAAGCAGCACACGGTGAACTCTGCGCAATCCACTGCTCCTCCATCACCTCTTGCTACTATGTGACATTTGCTCCAGGATTAACATTTAATCATGAATGCTTATTATATATTTAAGCCCACGTAGTCCTTTTTTTATAGTGGTCTAATACACTTATAGCCTGTGTTGCCATACAAGCCTTATATAAGACTTTTACATTTTTGAGGCTCCTGACAGATTTGTTTTTTTGGTCCAATATGGCCCTTTGAGCAGTTTGGGTTGCTGACCCCTGCTCTAGGTGCCAGTTTTTCAGTCTTGCTACAGATTTCCTTTGACTAGGCCATTCTAAAACATTTTGTTTTGTAGTTGTGGTTGTGTTTAGTGTCGGTCTCCTGCTGCAGAGGATCCTCCGCCACAGATCAAATCCTCTGCAGCTTGTCTTCCATTATTCAGCTCTTATTTTTTATTCTTTGTCCATGCAGAAAAAAAAAAACATCCCCACAGCATGATCCTGCCGCCATCATGTTTCACTGGAAATCTCAATGATTTACAATGACGTTGGTGGCTGTAATGTGACAAAATGTAGATATATTTGAAGGTTAAGAATACTTTAGCAAGGTGCTGTGCATGCTCTGATGATATGACATAATTCGACTTTATTATGAGCTTTTTTTATGTAAATTTCTGTCTATAAACGTATGAAAGAAGTATTCTGACATTCTTTACCTGTGAATCTTTGCATAATTAAGTCGATGAGGATGGGATGGACTGTCTGGATAACGAGAGGCGACCGCACTTCCCGCAGTTCTCGTACTCGGCCAGCGGGCGAGAATGAACTGTCCATCACGGCGACATTGTCTCTGAGGCCGCCAGCGTAGGACACGAAGACCCCGCAGGTTCGGACCGACCCAGACTTGAAGGATCCTCACCCCACCACCCGTCCTTTCTCCTCCATTCCTTCTCTTCAATCTGCTTCTTTCTTTATTTATTGTTTATTTTCTTTTTTCATGAGACTAAAACCTTGAGGCAAAATTAGAGTTGAATCCCGCACTCCAAACTGTGACAGAATCAGTTGGTTTTAAACGACCCTTTAACGACTGGAGCTTCACCTGCGTCCTGCTGTGCTTTGACAACGGGTCGGCCCTCGGACAAGCCGTAAAAAAAAAAATGAAATGGAAAATGCAAACACTTATTTAGATGCTAGCCGACGCGTTTTCAGGTAGTGTTCGTCTCCGTGCGACAGAGATACAGCATTTTACGTCGTCGAAACCCAAACTGCCATAGCGGGTTGTATCTCAGGCTTTTGCAAACACAGACTCAGATGTGCGTTTTGTGTCGTCAGCTCAGCGATCCCGGGATGGACTGAGCAGCCTTCATCGGTGGACGCTCTTCATGTTGTCAAGCAGGATTTGACTCAGGTGCTGCTCAGTGCACGTCATGTCGTTGCTGCTATTTCAACCTGGTCTACAGGTACTACTCCTCCTACCACCTTCTACTGCTACTACTGAACTCCGGTGCTACAGCTACTCGCCGAGCGTTACCAAAGCGCCAGCAAGACACCCGTACTACCATCTATGCTCGTACAGCTGCTACTTTACTGTGCTGCTCTTAAATGTCATCTCTGAGGTTTCAACAGATGATGGCATGCGCTCCGTCGGTGCGCGCCTTTGTGTCGAAGGTCCAGTCATCATGTGTTTGCCTCAAAGCTCAGCAGGTCAAGCAGATGAAGCTCCGGCAGATGAATAATTAGCTTTACTACACCGCCCAGACTGATTGGAAGAAATCAGCCGGTGGGAATGTTTCCTAAACCCCACTTTTCCTTCCTGCTTTTATTTCAATCTACCTTAAACCAACAAAAGGGAAAAAAAAACAAAAACAAAAAAAACAACTTAACTGAAACGGTACTTTGTTTAAAGGAGAAAAAGCTTTACTGTGACATGCGGTGATCATGGCTTTGAGATTCGCACGGCTGTACCTCTTGGTGTCAGGGCCCAGAATGTCAGATAGAAAAAGGGACTGTTACGACAGGAGAGGAGTCAAACAAAAAAAAAAAAATGCAATATTAATAATTTATAATGTGATCACTTACGATGTAGTGAGGTAACAGCTTATCTACTGTTTGCTGCAAGTTTCTAAAGAAGGGTTTTAAAACAACGCAGTCTGTGAGGAAGTAAACACAGTTTACAAGAATCACAGCAGTTGCTATAATATATATATATATAAATATATATATATGTTCTATTTATTGCTCTACACATTGGTTTTATATTTAACCTTTTCTATTGTTATTACATTATTAAAAAAGTATGTTATTTCTTAAGATTGAGAAAAATGTTGCACCTCAAGAAACTAAAAATGGCTGAAGAATGTAGGAGGGAAAGCAGATAGCCTTCCTGCTCCATTTTTATTTTTATTGCGTGTTGTTCTGTGACCAAAATGTGACGGCCTGAGGCGACGGCACGCTGAAGACTGTTTATTGGTTAAATGTAAACAAAACCTGAATGGTCCTGATATTTTTTGGGGTTCTGGGTGAGGTAGAGTTAAAAAAGGAAAGTGAAGAGGAAGTGGAAGTGGAATAAGCAGGAGAACAAGGATGGAGAGTGGAGAGCAACTCGTAAGTGTGTGGATGATTGCTTTGTGTTTTAATCTAAAGGGCTGAGATGCACCTGCAAGTCGGGTGGTCGAGTTAATCAGACCATTTTTGGAGTGACCAGACAAGTGGTAAACACAAAGAATACAGTTTCTTTTCTAAGTAGTGAATGCATCATACGTAAGCACCTCATATGGAAGTTATTACTGAATGAAAAAGTTAAATTTAGTTATTTGTAAGGATTAGTGAGACATTTGAAAGGAAATCAGATAAAGTTTAAAGCTGTTCTACATTAAAAAAATGACTACAGCTCAGTCCTGTTACCACAACAGTGACAGGATTCATCAGTTGTCATTGATTAAGTTCCTTAAAAAGAGGGAACAACTAACATTGGGGAGGATTTGTTATAGAGACAAAAGACTAATTGATTAGGACCTCAGCCATAAATATCAAGAGTCCCACATTGGTTTGTCTCTGCTTTAGGCCTTAAAAGGAGTTAAAACATCAAGAATAGGTTTATTCATAACTTTTTTCAAATCGTTGGACTTTGGGAGAAAAGCTTCAGACATTCAATGTTCTGTTTATTGCCGACAAGGGATTTATGAGGTATTACAGCGTAACAACAAGAAAGTCAACCGCCCAGCTAGTCCCAAATAAACCTAAGGATTTAGCATATCTGTTAGGAGGATTCTTCATGACTATCTTTTTTTGTTGATGTTTATAAATGGATATTTAACAGGATTTGGCTTTAAAGAGCTACATAATTTAATTCGTAGTTGACTGAATCATGAGGATAAATTTGAAGTGCAAAAACCTTTTGATTTTATTAATCACTAATCATAAGAGTCTTGATACTTCTAAAAGGGTCTGCAGGAGCTGATGTTGTACAAGTGCTAACCGCTAATATAAGAAGTGTCTGTCTGCTCTTAAGTTTGGTAGTACTTTTTGCTCCCTTTGTCCCCAAATACTGTAATTTAAAACCAATTCCCACTCAATTCAGTTTATTTATATAGTACCTATTAAAACACGTCATCTAAAGGCACTTTACAGAGACAATTCAACCAGATCATACAGTCAGATTGCTTCAAAGTTTTCTATCTAAGGAAAACAGGTTGATTGCATCGACTCATTGACTTGAAGGCAATCCCTCATACCAAGCATGCTTGTAGCGACAGTAGAGAGGAAAAACTCCTTTTAACAGGAAGAAACCTCCAGCAGAACCAGGTTCAGTGTGAGTGGCCATCTGCTGAGAAAAACAGAGAGAGCATAATCTTTGCGATTACACTAACAAATACTGCAGAGTGGGAGAATAGAGATAGAAAAAAAGAGTCCAGCAGTCTAAGCCTATAGCAGCATCACTATAGAGCTGGCACTGGGATAACACAAGCCATTCTAACTATAACCTTTAAAAAAAAAGGAAAGTTTTAAGCCTACCCTTAAAAGTAGACAGGGTGTCTGCCTCGCGGACTAAAACTGGTAGTAATGGAGCCTCCCATTCTACTTTTAGAAATTCTAGGAACCACTAGTAAACCTGCTGATTTAGAGCAAAGTGCTCTGTTGGGAACATAAGGAACAATCAGATCTCTGATATAAGAGGGACCTTGGCCATTTAAGGCTTTATATGTGAGAAGGAGGATTTTAAATTCCATTCTGGATTTAACAGGAAGACTTTGAAGTAAAGGTGGGTTGGGGAGATATGATCTCTCTTTTTAATTTTCATCAGAACTCTGGCTGCAGCATTTTGGATCAGCTGAAGGCTTTTAACTACAGTTTGTGGACTTCCTGATAGTAAAGAATTACAATAGTCCAGCCTGGAAGTAACAAATGCATGGACTAGTTTCTCAGCATCACCCCTGGACAGGAGTTTTAAAAAATTTTCAATCTTCCTCAGATGAAAGAAGGAAATTCTAGAATCCTCTTCGATATGGGATTTAAATGACAGGTCCTGATAAAAAAAACAACATCAAGATGTTTAACTTTATTATCAATTTTATCCTATCCAAATGAAGTGAGTGACTAATCAGCTTATTTGTCAAAGACTCTGGTCCAAAGACGATAGCTTCTGTTTTGTCTGCATTCAGGAGCAGAAAGTTAAGAGTCATCCAGGTTTTTATGTCTTCAAGACATGCCTGTAATCTGTGTAATGGGTTAGCTTTATCTGCATTTATAGACAGATATAGCTGGGTATCATCAGCATAACAGTGAAAATTAATCCCATGCTGTCTAATAATTCTACCAACTGGGAGCATATATATGTAGTAAAGAGAATTGGTCCTAGCACTGATCCCTGTGGTACTCCACAGGTAACCTTTGAACATCAGGAGGATGGATTGGATATACTGTAGGTCTGTAACTGACCAAGTCATCTGGGTCAAGAGACAGTTTCTTAAATAAAGGTTTAATTACAACAACCAAAACAGCCTTTGGTACATATCCCTTTAACAGGTAGATTAATCACATCTAAAATAGAGGAGGGAAACTTTGCCTCTGACCCTGATATTACAGATGACAACACTTATTGCTGGAAACATATTTTGAACACTGGTATTTGTATTCTTGGTTTAAATGTGAACTGGCCCCAAACCTCAGATCTGTGTAGCTGCAGTCTTCATTCCGTGCCGTCGCCTCTCTCCGGTCTGGACTCTGTATGTCTGTAATTGTTGCATCTTTGTGTCCTTCAGACACTGTTTAAGAATTTTCCCCTTGATTTCTTCGTCTCCAAAGCCTTATGGTTTCACTTCACTCACAAGGTCAGAAAAGGCCAAACTTCACCCAAAGGAAACCCTGTTGTGTTTTAGCATCTGGCTTACGGACAAGAGTATCGGGGATGTGATCCGATGATGATCAGAGAAAACTATTCCAGTGTGTTTATTATTTGAATGTCTGAATAACTTGAATTTGTTTTCTATTTAATTTATTTGTTCACTTTTTTTTTCTGAATGGGCCTTTAGCAGTATGGAGGGGTTGTAGTAATGTTTAAAGTTTCTATTTTTATTTTTTCTTTGTTTAAAGATATGTGTGTTAAACAACCTCCTCCCTGTTTTTCCGCTGCTCTTATGTCCACATGCTTTACTGTTGCACTACCATTAAACTACAAATAGCTAGAAAAAATAAAAACATGCTTTATGGTAGAAAGTTCAGAAAAAGGACGCTGCTGGCCTGCATGCTGTAGCTCTCATCTGCCCATCAGCCCTGAGTCAGAGTGGCGCTCAGAACTCCGATGAAAAATACTTGTGTGTGTGATCGACGGGGCCTGTCAGGCAGGGAAGTCCAAATCCCACCCAGCTGGCAACCCTGACAGGCTCAAGGAAGCGCTCTCAAGTATCTGGAAGGGTTTCAGCTTTGATTTGACTCAGGTCGGCTGAGGAGTTCTGGCTGGATGTGCACATGTTGCGCCAATAACCATTAGAAACCCGAGTTCAATAAATTCCAGCTTTGTAGCTTTGGACACAGCACTTTCGCATTCATCACTTTTGATACGATCCAGAGGAATTTGATTCAGCCCCACTTTGAAGCGAGATTTTTTTAGCTCCTTTTTTTATGTTTTTAAAGAAAACGGGTGAAATCTCCAGATAAAACCTTTGGCTTAGGCATGGGTCCGATGTATAGATTAGACAGACTTGGCTGGAGTGTCCTGTAAGGGAAGTAGAGGAACAGATGTTGGTGTAGCTCATCGATCGCTGGTTTTCCTTCCAGTGAATTCTGGGTCAGACTCAATGAAAGCAGCTTTTCTCTTCTTTTTTTTTTTTTTCAGTAAATGAGCCGAGATGACGAAGCTTACTTATTAATATTAAACAGTGTGGGGTTTTCCCTGACCGACAGTGAATCACACGTGGCAGACGTCTTAGAAAGTCAGTTTCTGCCTCCTCGCAGCTTTCACAGGATTCATCATCATCATCATCATCGTATGAAACAGCGTGTGAAATCTGGGACGCTATACTGATGGCGTTCACTCTTAAAGCTGCTACTGCTACATCTACAGAGCCGTCTCATTTGTTGACATCAGCCAGACATTCCCCAAAGCTTTCTGTCAAAAAGGAAAAAAAAAAGTTACATCTCTTAAGAGATACTTCATTTCAGCAGCAAATCCCTCCTCAGTTTACCTCATTAACATGATTCCTACACGATAACAAGCATGAGATTCATTCATTTAGAAACAGCAAACATGTATAAATATTTCAACGGCGTTTCAATTACTCACTGTAGCTGAACAGCAGAAGAGGAAAAGGCTGCGGTTCTGCTCTGAGGTGATGTTTGAATCCAAGAAAGGACACAGCAGCAGAGATCAAACAGCCTTTATGTCAGGATGAGAGAACAACGCATTACCATCAACATGGAGCTGTTTTTTTTATTTATTCTGTACATCCTTAGTATTTTTACACATAAGATGTATAAAATAGGGATGCACATTATTTTCCTTACAGACGGCTTCAATAAAGCACTATGTCAATCTGCTGCAGAGTTGATTCGTCTTTACTGTTCGATCTGCAATTATG